GTGTGTGTGTGTGTGTGTATGTGTGTGTCTATGTCTGTGACTGTGACTGTGTGTATGTCTATATATATGTATATATTACTATAGATATATATATATATATATATATATATTTTCATCCATTTATATTTATATATATGTTTTTATTAACATATGATTATATACATATATATATATATATATATATGGGTGTGTGTGTAAGTATGTATTTATGTTTGTATTTATGTATGTATATATTTATGTATATTATGTATGTATGTAGAGATGTATGTATATATGTAAAGTATGTGTATGTATCTATATATGTATATATAATATATATATTGTATAAATATATATATATATGTATATGTAGTAAGGATGTATATATATGTGTTTTTGTTTATAAATATATTCATATTTATATTTATTTGTTTATTTATATATATTTGTTTATTTGTGTCAGTAATATTTGTTTGTTTGTTTTTAGGATTTTCTGGCTTACATATATATATATTTGTTTGATCTTCGTTCTATTTGGTTCAACGTATACTGATACTTACTTATCTATATCTGGTAGGGGCTGTCAACCGAATGTATGCATTGTTTGAAAAATGAGTTGTGGATTTTGAATGACAATACTATGCCAATTTAAGTATGGATCTAGTCGTAACTTGCGATCTGAGCGTCTCTCGCGGTCGTTTTCCAAATATATTGGAATTTGTCTATGTTGATTGGGCACTTGTATACATGTATGTTATCACTTTCTCGCTAAATTGCATATTGATGCAGAATCTGTTAGGGTTATATCCGATCGTATGTGCGACCCGATATTTCAGTTCATTTGGTGTCGCAGGCCCTAGCAGTCTCCGGAAATGTGTCAGAAAGATATCTCCAACTCACGGTACCTGCTCCTTTTTTTCCGATGTGTTCGTAGCCAAAAGACTTAAAGGAAGGCGACGAAGACGATTGCCATGGTGGTGCTCTTGAAGAGAGTCTGGACGAAAATGCGTTACTCCACGACAAGGATGAGTTGAACGATGATACTTTTGGTGACGATGGTAGGTTTCTCAAAGAATGCCGGTTAGCGTAATTTACATGTACCTCTGTAGGAATTCGCGTTTCAAAATAAGCTCTGATTTTCGATTATACTTGTGTATGCTGTCGGTTGTTCCCCTACCCCACCCCCTGCTCCAAGTTTGCTGCACGAGATTGCCTGCGCCTTGAATTCAGTATAGTGTCTGGTTGCATTTGGCACGGCGCTGTGTCTCACGTTTTGGACTCGGCTATAATGTTTAGAGAATAATGGCATGGCTCTTAATGCATACCCATGAACACGTCGCGAATTTGTTTATGCACGAAGACGTGCTGTACCACACAGGCTGTGGTACACATAAAAAGTTTATACTTTCTTGACTTGACCGGTGAACGTCCACACTATCAGATCCCGTCTCCAGTGCCACCGAGCAGATGGGTGGTCTGAATATGGAGCCAAGTCAAGCATTCGAGGGGCTACTTACACCCGGGGATATGGTGAGTTGTTTTAACATAATTCAGTATTTTATTGAGCGCATAGCTTGCAGGCTCCATTTTGGGCGTAAGTACCTGTAATTTTTATGTGGCTGTGAGTTGCTTCTCGCGAAGTGAAATATGTCTAGCTTTGTATGTCTGCCTCCTTTTGCCTACCATCGTTCATTGAAGTGAGAACGTCTATTTCTCGTTGGAAACACACAACTTGGAGTGCTGAAGTTTGACGTTTTTTGCGCAAAACATTACTAGAACCCACCCCTGTAACGAATCTTCCGATGTCTGTACCGTAGAAAACATAATATAAAAGGCCAATGTAGCTATTACTTTGCGAATGCTCAATTTTCGTACCGTAGCCTCCATACGCGACCGAAACATCTCCCCAAGCACTCGTTCCCGTCCTCGTCTCGCCTGCGATTGTCTAATACGCCTTCTCACACTCTCCACATCAATTTTGTGCGCCCACACAGCTGCGTCAAAGTGAGCAGTTATCCGGGGCTAACACGATGACGTATGGTTCAGGCGCCAGCCAAATGTCGCCTGTGTCATCACAGAGCAACAACAACAACAACCCATATCCAATGCAAACTCAGGGACAGCCAATGTACCCACCTGGGTACGGTGGCAATATACCCCTTCCACAGTCGGATGGGATGGCAGAACAACAACTTCTGGCCGACAATGGTGTGCAAATATATTCTTTCAACTGAATTGGGATGTGATTGTTATCAGGCTGTAATTGTGCTCACGTATGAGTGGAGAGCCGCATCTGTACAATAGCGAGGATAGCGCAAGCATATACGTGACAGGATTGACTTACGTTGTCGTGTGTATCTTGCGTGTTATGACGCACCCTGCTTTGTACGTTGTCGTGTGTATCTTGCGTGGTATGACGCACCTTGCTTTGTAGAATTGTATGTTTAGGAAACTCAAAGGTGTCTTTTCGCGTTCGCTTGACTCTACTTAACTTTATGTGAGTATGAATCCGAGAATGCGCTACATTTGCATACAGGTACAATATGCGTGTGCATAACAGGTGGTATATATATATATATATATATATGTATGTATGTATGTATGTATGTATG